CAGGCAGCACAATCTGAGTAGGCATGGCATGTTTGAGTGTGGTGTGGCACACAGCAGGCACTGGGGACCCATGTTGGCCTGAGGTGGAGATAAAAAGGTATGGCAGAGGTGAAAGAATTAGAGCCTTGAGTTTGGAGGTACTTGGGACACAATGTGGAATCACAGAGGTGTTTAGGTTGGGGAGATGCATTAGAATAACAGTCCCAAGTGGGCACAGTAACTGGCAACCTGAGAACAACCTGCCACATCCAGACATCTGATGGGCCAACCTAGCACCAACCCTGGCACCCTAGGCACTCACCCCGCTGGTGCAGCCGAGCAAAGGGCTGAAAGTGCCGGGCATAGCTGAGAGCCTCCAGCTGTTTCTCCGGTCCACCTGCTAGGAGGCGGATGAAGTGCAATCGATGCAGCTTGAACTCCAGGGAGCTGTTGAGTTCCAATAGGTGCTGCCGGTGGGAGACAGCCCATCTGGGAAGAAAAGGGCCAGTTTAGTGTGGAGCTAGTGGGGGCTGAGGAGGGCCCCAAGGCCTGTATCAGGTGCTTGGGTCAGGGCTAAAGGTACATCAGGTATATCTGGGGGAAACTGAAGACCACAGACAAGCCCTGTGCGCTGGGAGGTGAGAGCAGAGCACCGCCGGCCCACCTAAGGGCCTGCTTACTCCAACGCAGGCCCCAGGTCTTGTTCATGCAGAGCTTCTAGGATTCGATTCAACTCCAGGAAAGGCTGCTTGAAATCCAGGTCCACATCCAGTGTTGATTCCTATAAGGAAAGAGAGATCTCACCACTAGAGATAGTGTTTCTAAAATTCTGTTATGCATGTGAAAACTCACCACAGGCTGGAGAGTGCCAGGCTTTGTGTGAGGAGCTGTGGTCTCCTGCCAGCCACTTGGCCCCTTAGTCCCATCTCAGTTCTTTGGAGTACAGACTGTAAACCACCCCACCACAGAGCACTGGAGACAGTCCTCCGGCTCCTGCTCAGTGGCACAGTGAGAGAATTGTTCCTTTTTGATCATCCTAATTACATTAGGGAAAGTCTCCTTTACTTTTACTGCCACTGTGTATTTAATACCTAGCAAGTACTACTTTAGCTCAAATCCCAGCTGGCAACCACCTCTAACTAGAAATGAGTAACTTCACTTTTCATCATGTATGTTCTTGGAGCTACTTTTTACTTAAGTGGGGGCATTGATTTCCTTTCTAAAATAAATTTATTTAAAGAATGGCAGGGACGGCTCGGCGCCTATAGCTCAACCGGCTAAGGCGCCAGCCACGTACACCTAAGGTGGCGGGTTTGAATCCCCAGCCCGGACCTGCCAAACAACAATGACGGCTGCAACCAAAAAATAGCCGGGCGTTGTGGCGGGCGCCT